TGAACTCACAAACCGCGAGATCATGACGTGAGCTGAAGTCAGACGCTTAACCACCTAAGCCACCCAGGCGCCCCTCCATCCAGTGCAACAATCTTTAAATTTAATTTCTGTTTCCAAACCTGTGACTGTTGGCTCTGCAACACAAGAGCAGCTCTCACAGCCAGCAGTAATAAATCTTTGAGGAATTCTAATAACTCTTTGATGTACTTGGTTGCAATGGCGTGTGCACTTTGCCTAATGATTTGCTGACAAAGTTCACCGCCTGAGAACGGGTCATGTCTCTTCCGGTGCTCAGATGGGAGATTTACTATTTGTGTGGATGCCTCATTGCCGGGGACGATGAGCAAGACCGCCTTCCACCCCTGGTCTTGACATTGCCCCCATGTGGGACTCGCTGTCTCCTGCAGCCGCCTCCACACCCAGGGCTGCTGCCAGGAATCTGGGCGCTGGTTCGGGCCTAGCCACCTCCTCGGGGCTTTGTGGTACCCCTAACTGCCCCAGGGCGTGCACACGCACGCAGAGCCACCTGCTGTTTGCGCACTGGCCCCTCTGTGCACGCCGCCCCCCAGCACATGCTACTACTCACGCACATGCTGCATTGTGCTATGGAGCTCAACTTCCACAAGCCAAGTTCGAAGGTAAATGGTAACAAATTTTTAGGCAGCAAAGGCAGACACTACACCGAGTACAAGGGCCTCCTGAGCACAGGGCTTTGAGCTGCCTTACATGTTGAAGGTTCTCGAAGTGGCCCCCCACAGCGCCAGATCTCCTGCAAGAGAGATCGCGCGACGGCTGGTTCAAATTCAACTCCCAACTTACCACCGACCAGACCTTCACCGAGGTTGCCGGGCCCTGGTTTTCTAATCTGTAAAAGGAAAGCAGTAACATGCCACAACTCAGAGAAACGAGGCCACGGACCGACATAGGATGGGGTTATGGGGGTGGGCGGCCTGCTTTACAATAATCCGTGTAAAGCTCTTAGCACAGTGCCTGCCATAGAGTAAATGCTCAATAAATTATAGTTACTAATGTTTTGCTGCCCATGATGAGAAGCAGGAGAGCACCGTGGTCGAGATGGTCGCCCCGGTGAGAATCCAGCCCTGGTGCCGCTGATGGCCCGCTGTGCCGCTGGGCGAGTCAACCTCTCTGAGCTTCGGGCTTCTCCTCTCTAACAAAACTCAGTGATTACTACAGGCAGAGAGCTTAGAAAAGTGCCAGGCACGTTGCAAGTACTCGGTTTCCGGCCACTCGTAGTTTTCATTACCATCGTCGATTTCTCCTAACAACCAGAACAGGCGTGTGTGGCCCCGCTGCCGTTGCAGATAAGAAACCGAAGCTCCGAGAGGTCAAGTAGCAGCTTTTCCAGCGTCACATGGACCTCCAGGCGTGGAACCAGCTCTCGAACCCAGGCTACGCCACCACATCCACCCCCAGAGCCTGGACTCATACACTTGCTCTCCCCCAGAACACAAGCCATTCGCAGAACCGAGGCACCTGCCCGGGCAATGAGGGTCCCCACACGGCCCGGGTTATCCGGCAAGACCACGGCAGAAAACTTCTGGGCGTAACTGATTTCCAAAACCCTTCCTGCCCTAACGTCCTATGAACCCCAGTCCAAATTGGATTTACATCGCTTTTTGACTTTTCCACGGTTGCACTTCACTCACAGTATACGCAGCGTCCACAGTATACGCAGACGTGCCTGAAGTGCCCGTGACGGACAGAGCGGATCAACCGACAGACGCCCGGGGCGGGATCAACCCTGACTGCAAGCCAGCCGTTCGCTCACCTCCTCTGGTCCTGCTGAGCCAGGGCCCGGTGCAGTTTTTATCAGGCTTCCCCACCCGCCCCCTGGAACCGCTCTCCTCGGGCACAGCCCTGTTTCCCCATGGGCCAGGCTGGGCTCCAGCCTCAACCCGGAGGGGCCCCTGGCTGGGAGCGGAGAGGGGACAAAGGCAGGCCCCACAGAGTGGGAGAGAGGTCAGGGGCGGTGCCTGCTGACCCCCACAGGGGGCAGGTGTTGGTCCCGCCCCCCACAAGGCGCAACTCTTGTCCGCAAGGTTTTACTACCGTCACACTTCACACTGTGAAGGTCAGATTGTGGCGTAGTATGTGCAAAACCCTTAATTATGAATTTGATGATGTGGAAGCTCTTGGTGAATTAATCCCTTAAAGAGCATGAGCGACTGCTCCACGTTGGAGGAATCAGTGAGGGTCTAAAAGGAAAGAGATTGGAGGCTCCTGATGCACATGCGGGGCTCACGGGGAGCACCGTGGGATGGGGGCGCTGGGTGGAAGGACGCGTGGGGGTAAGGATGGAGGACTGGGAGTGGGCGTGTGCACACTGGGGCCTGGGCACGGGAAAAGGCACCACGTGATCAGTCCGGGAGCCCCCTGCACCTTCGCCTGCCGCCTCTGTCCTTTGCACCCACAGGTGCCTCTGGAAGGGTCGCGCTGTTCCCAGCAGGCATGAGCCTTTGCCATTCAAGGCTTCAATTCAAGGCTTCGCGATTCAACCCTCCTGCGGACCCGGCATTTCAAAATCCCACTTTGGGGGTGCCTTGGGGGACTCAGTCGGTTAAGCATCTGGCTTTGGCTCAGGTCAGGATCTCGCAGCCCCTGAGTCCCAGCCCCGGCACTGGGCTCTGTGCTGACAGCTCGGAGCCTGGAGCCTGCTTCGGATTCTGTTTCCCTCTCTCGGCCACCCCCCTGCGTTTGCTCTCTCTCCCTCTCAAAAAATAAATGAACATTTGAAAAAACAAATCCCACTTTGGCCCTGCCAGAATGAGAGATGACGCAAGAAACCCAGCCCAAGCCAAAGCTGGTCACATAGGACTGGACTACACCTGCTCTGTGGGGACTGCATCAGCCAAAGGGGCTGCGGAAGGAAGGACAGGAGACCTAACAAGGTCGAACGGGCAAAGCACACCGCGTGGCACAACCAAGCTGCAGCCTGACGAAGGCTGAAAGATACTCTCAGTGACAAAATAGCACACCCCTCCCCGATTGCATCACCATTATGGGCGACGATAAAATATTGGTAAAACAAAGACTACTTAAAATAGTTGCCACGATTTTAATCTGCTGAAAACAAGCACAACGTGGTTGGTTTCTTTGTTTATTTTTTTCAGCACACTTCTGATCGAAAGACAACATATATTCAGGAAAGTGCCAAGTGTATATCCAGCTTGATAGTTTCTCCGCAGGGAACACACCTGTGCAAACTTTGTCCAGATCATGGTGTTGAACAGGGCACCACCCAAGCCTCGCCTGAGCTCTCTGTCATTACTCTACCTACATAACCACTGGCCTGATAAACATCACTGGTTTTGAACTTTGGATAAGTGGTTTCACGCAGGATCTACTTATGTGTGTCATTTCTCTGCTCGACATTATGTTCGTGAGGTTCTCCCCCAAATTGTGCATATAGCAATACTTTACTCCTTGTTGTTGTCATAGAATATTCCGCTGTATGACCCTGCCACATGTTACCTGGATATTCGCGCCATTACAGATAACACTAAAACGAGCACCTAGGTATGTCATTAAAATGAGGTTAACCTAAGTCACTAAGGGCCTTCCAACTCGAAACTAATTTCTAACCATAGAAATTTGTATTTGATAGCTGGATATTCTGTTCGCTTCTTTCCATTGTTTCTGGCTAGATGAAACAGGTTTTAAAAGTTTTGCAAAGTAGTAACAAATTAATTATAAAATCCATTACTAAAATCACTAAAATGCTAAAAGGGTCATTGTAAAGGCAATTAAAAAAGCAATACAAAAACACGAAAGAAAGAAAACTTGGTATATGTCAGTGGTCTTAAAACCAGTTTGAAAAGCCCCTAAGACAACTTTTATCTTTCTTTGTTAATTTTTTTAATGTTTATTTATTTTTAAAAGAGAGAGAGACAGAGCGTGAACGGCGGAGGGGCAGAGAGAGAGGGAGACACAGAATCCGAAGCAGGCTCCAGGCTCCGAGCTGTCAGCACAGAGCCCGACGCGGGGCTCGAACCCACGAACTGTGAGATCATGACCTTGAGCTGAAGTCGGATGCTTAACTGACTGAGACACCCAGATGCCCCTTTTTTAACTCCTTTAAAATAATCAGTCTGGAAAAGGAGCTAGGAAATAAGAAAGTAACATTGCTGCGGGTTAAGCCTATGTTGTGCTGGTGTTTCTCAGGAGGTGGGGGAGAGGATCTGTCTGTCTGTCCTGTGTGCTCATATACTGGGGAGGATAGACAAAAACACAAAGCCTGTTAAAGGCAAGAGGGTTGGCTGGGAACCATCACATGAGCCCAGAATCCCAGAAAGTGTATCCTGCCTGGAGAGGGAGGGGGGCACCCTAGACACCGTGTGTTGGGGCCAGGATTTATATCATCTGTGTTACCTCCACTGCCCAACAAATCTAAGCCAAACAGTGGGTTTAAAATGCTCCTGACAGAATATATTGGGGTGATGGGAAGCACCCCAGTCATGCAAAACTGTATAAATTTACCAAAATTAAACTGTACACTTAAAATAAGTGAGCTTTCTAGCGTGCAAATTGCACCTCAGTAAAACTTCCGAGGGTGGAGGTTGGAGGAGGGGGCGGACTGCCTGCCTAGCTCCTCGTCCCGATCACAGATCCACCATCAACAACTTTTTCTAGAACCAATACAGGAAGTTGATGCCCTTCGCCACTAGTATTCACACGGATCAAAAGTAGAATCAAAAGGGAAAAAAAGAGGGGCGCCTGGGTGGCTCTGTCGGTTAAGCATCCGACTTCAGCTCAGGTCATGATCTCACAGTTCGTGGGTTCGAGCCCCGCGTCGGGCTCTGTGCTGACAGCCTGGAGCCCGGAGCCTGCTTCGGATTCTGTGTCTCCCTCTCTCTCTGCCCCTCCCCTGCTCACGCTTTGTCTCTGTCTCAAAAATACATAAACATTAAAAAAAGTTTTTTAATAAAAAAAGGGAAAAAGAAATTCAAGATGCTCACGCTCTGTCTCTGTCTCAAAAATAAATAAACATTAAAAAAAATTAATAAAAAAAAAGGGAAAAAGAAATTCAAGAAGAGAAAGGCAAGATAAAACAAGGAGAAAATTTATGTGTGCCATGAGACATCGGCTGTGTTTGAGTCGCCTTCCACCATGTTTAAGCAACCGAGGCACAACAAACCAGGTGAAATCTGCATAAACTCATTACCATAAATTCATGATCGCTCAGTGATAGTTCTTTTGAAAGCTCTTCAGAGGTGATAATGACCTTGGAATAAATAGGGGAACAAAAATAAACATATAAGACTGCTTCTCTTTGTGTTTTTCCAGGAGGGGAAGATTGGGGAGGCTTTGGCTCTGAGCCGGACCCTCCAGAGAAATGTCATTCACAGCGATATCCAATCGTGTCTCTCCAGGGCCGGACCTTTCTGAAACTTCTCAGTTTCCTTGAAATATGGTTACTTCCCCAAGAAAGTGGTAGTACAAATGCCATACCCCCCTCCCCGCCTCTTTCAACGCTTGGATTAATTATTCTTCCTGTTTTTTGTTTTTGTTTTTTTTTGGGGGGGGGGATGCCTTATTCCTGGGTGGTGTTCCTCTACTCTTTCACGTGAGTCGCATGTACCTGTTTCCTGCTTCGGGTCCAGCTTGCACTGCTCCCGTCTTGTCATGGGACAAACCAAATCTACCTTTAAGCTAGGTCTGTGCTGTTCTGAAAATGCTATAATCTCCTTCCACCAAAATCAAGACAGCATTCCCCAAATAATACATTCTGGTAAAACTACTATATTCTGAATGTGTCATCAGGTGACTAGATTTCTTCCACTATTTTGCAAAGAAATCCCCAAGGACCATGTGTTCTTAAAATGAGTCCTTTTTAAGCAGAAAATATGTACTTTTGTTTTTGAGAGAGAGAGAGCACGCAGGTGGGGGAGAGGGGCAGAGGGAGAGAGAGAAAGATCTTAAACAGGCTCCACACTCACTGCAGACCCCAACGTGGGGCTCAATCCCATGACCCTGGGATCATGACTTGAGCTGAAATCAAGACTCAGAGGCTCAGCCGACTGAGCTACCCAGGCTTCCTGAAAGTATGTACATGTTAATCATTATTTTGGTTTTTAATATTATAAAATAATGCATGGCATTTATAAAAAGTCTAATAATACGGAAACATCTATCATAACATGAGAAGCCTCCCTACATGCCTCTCACTCAATTCTGTTCCCCTCTGTGGTAACCACTGGGAATGGTTCTGTCTGTACTTATACACACACACACACACACACACACACACACACACACACACACAGAGTCACACGCTCACAATATACTTCGGTTGTATACAATGTACACCATGTAACTTCAATGGAGTAATTCTGTACTTTTTGTTCACTTAACACACCCTGGAGATCTTTTCCTCATGGTAAAGATAGTCCTAACTTCATTGCTTTTGTCCACTTCCTAGAATTCTGTTAGGCGACTATACCATGAATCAGGGAATAGATGGGCATTGAAATAGTTTCTAATTTTTTGCTATTGCAAATCAGCTTCGGTGATTCTTAGACTTGAAAGAGAAGCATTACAAGGCACAACACTCACTGCCCAGTTGCCTTCCATAAAGGGTGTGCCGGCCCATGAGAACGTCCGTGTTCTCACATGCTCACCATTCCTGGAGTTTTAGCTAACTTTTTAATATCACAGGATCGATGACTGAATAAAAAACACTATTCCTATTCAATTTGCATTTTCCTGAATATCAGGAAAATTTAGCACGTTTTCAGAGGTTTTCAGTCATTTGTATTTATTTGCCTATGAATTGCCTGCGCATTTCTTTTTAAGTTTGTAACTTAATTCTAGTTAGACACACAGTGTTCTATTAGTTTCAGGTGTACGATGTAGTGATCCAACAATTCCATACATCACCCACTGCTCATCACGACCAATGCCCTCCTTCATTCCAATCCGTACTTAACCCATGCCCCCACCCGCCTCCCCTCTGGTAGCCCTCAGTTTGCTCTATAGTTAAGAGTCTGTTTCTTGGTTCGTCTCTCCCTCTCTCTTTAACCCCTTTGCTCACTTGTTTTGTTTCTTAAATTCCGCTTTTGAGTGAAATCATACGGTATTTGTCTTTCTCTGACAGCCTTATTTCACTTAACACCATACTCTGTACATCCAACCGTGTCACTGCAAATGGCAAGATTTCATTCTTTTTTCTGGCTGAATAATATTCCATCGTATATACTGCCTCTGCATTCCTCCATCCATTTTTCCGACTGCCTTAACTCCAATTGGCTTCAAGAAATGCTATCGAGTATGGCTAATTATCAATTCTTTATGTGAAAATACTTTCTCCTACTCTATTGTGTGTCATTTTACTTTGTTCGTGATATTTCTTTGCTGTGCAGAAGTTTACATTTTTTATGGAGTCAAAGGAACGACTGATGGGATTTCCTTGCCTAGCCCCAAATTACAAATTGATTGTCCTATAGTTGATTCCAAGACTGTCGTCGTTTTGATTTTACATCAAGACTCTAATTCCATCTGGATGCCCCATGTTCTATTTCCACTGTCTGGGTTCGTTTACTGAATGGGAGTTACTCAGGAATTCCATTGAGAAGAAGGGCCCCTTTCTGCAATGCCTTCCCCAGGTGTGTTTTAGGTTAAGGTGTCTTTTGCTGTGGTTTCTGGAAATGGAATCCACCTGCTTACTAAGTTCTAGTGAGTCCTCACTGGTAGTCCCTTTCTTTCTTTAAGCACTATTATGTTTTTATTCACATTTTTATATCTTCCTTTTCATTTCAATGGAATCTTGGAAGAAAATACGATATAAGTGCATCTCTCAGTCTGCCATCTTGAATGGAAATGTCTGTGTATGTAGGCTCTAAACAACATTTGTATTGGGAAATACAAATATGTACATAATGGAAAATTCGGTAAATACAAAAAAGACACAAAGGAAAAAATTCACTATTTAAAAATGATACTATGCTTTGAAAGCTAACATTGTGTACTTTCCTATGCCCTTAAAAAAACATGATTTTATTTTTTCAAAAATGGCTGTGAGTACTCCATTTGCGCATATTTGCCAGAAACTAATGGTCAATTTGCTTTTTTAATGACACATTTCCAGAAGAGTAATACAGTACAGTCAAAAGTCTCCTTTCCAACCCGTGACTCCCTTCCTGGAGTTAACAAATGATACCTGATTATTTTGTAAAGATAAAGTCCCATTGGTAGAATTGGGTGAGAAGGTATTTACCTTTCCAGCTCTTGAGACATACTGGTTCTCCAGCAATGTATAAATCACATCACCCCTTAATGAAGGCTTGCTCTTTTTTCTAATATTTGTTATTTTGGGGGGTTTGGGGTTTTTTTTTCAGTTTATTTATTTATTTTGAGAGAGAGAAAGAGAGGCAAAGAAGGGAAGGGGCAGAGAGAGGGAGAGACAGAATCCCAAGCAGGCTCCACGCCGTCAGCAAGGAGTCCAATGCAGGGCTGGAACCCACGAACTGTGAGATCGTGACCTGAGCTGAAATCGAGCGTCAGACGTTTGACCAACTGAGCCCCCAGGTGCCCCTAATATTTGTTATTTTGGAAGGCAAGAAACATTCTAATATTCATTTTGCTAAGGATGAAGTTAGAGCATGTTTTCATATATTCATTAGCATCTTTCAGCGTTAAATGGGCTTCTCCTAGCCTTTGCTACAAAGAACCTTTTAAAAATACTTTCTCACCTCTCAGGCTTATAGTCAACGCACTGAGTTTCCCCCACATCAAGTAAAATTGGATTGGGGTCTTCTCCAAACACGAAGGTCTCCACTTCCTTTAATGAAGATACCATCAGTGAGACTGCCCAGTGCTTTCCATTCATATTTGTTTTAATGAGATTTCTAATAATGCTCGCGATTTCTTTCCCGAGGTCTACTCTGAACTTCTCACCAGAAAGTAAAGTGACAGCCCAGAATTTTGTCCAGAGAAAACACGGAGAGTACGTAGGCTGGTGTTTTCCACTGGCTGCCCATCTGATTTCTTACAGGCAGGAGATGTGATCTGAAGGCCATGACCAATTCGTCTGGGCCAGAGTCCACTGCCACTCCCTGGTGTCACTCACCTCCACATGTTGGCCCATTCTGTCTCCGAAGCCTGGAACCTCTCCTCATCCAGGCTGGCCCCTACTGTCCACACGCCAGGCACAAGGAGTATATGTCTATCATTAGAATAAAAAAACCATCAGAGACCAGCCTTCAAAATTCCCCGAGCAGACAAAACCAGTGTCGTTATGAAAGCAAAACCGAATTTCAGCTTATTTTGTAAGACTCCCTTGACCTGGCTTCTTTCTCGCCTATACCTCTGACAAAACTCGAACTGTTTCCCAAGGTTGGTATGTGGCAACCACTGACCCAGTTTCCTATCATTTAAGAAGATTCTGACATTACAACCAATCGCAGTGAAGAATAAAGTCACTGCGTTCTCACTGTACAAGCTGCTTTCGTATGAGACTCATTCCACGTTTTGGTCTGTGTGTGTTTCCAGCGTGCAAACTTTCTGGTATGTGCGCAATAAACTTTGGCTAATTGCTGGTTCGGTGATTCGCTGGTTTTATGCCTGTTATTTCTGAACTTTCGACACTATCATCCATACATGTGCGGTTCAGGAATGAGTCTCCCCATCGCTCCGAAAAGTTCTGCCGTTCTCCGGAGCCGTACAGAGTCTTGCACGGCACATACCCTCATGTGATGATTACAGAGCTAAAACCAGGGCACCCCCCCGCCTGCCCCATTCACCTTCAGACAGCACAGCTAAGCAAATGCTTTCCCCAGCTCACCGCAGCCTACAGAACACAAGTAAGTAACCTCCTGCGTGCTGAAATGACATTCAAGGCTCTTCCCTGCACCTGCTTTTCCAGGCTCATACAACCTAGGGTTCCTTCGTAGGGAAAACTGTGTGGTTCTTTCCACACCCAACTGGCTAACCTGCTCTCCTTTGAGCCTTCACCACTGACGTGTGTCCCACTCCACCCTGGGTGAATTCCAAATGCGGTCTTACCCTCACTCCCCGGTTTTCCTTCAACATCCCATAACTCACTGATATTTCAGCTTCTTAGGCCACCCAGCAAACTGCACCCTATATAATAAAGCCTTTCAGCAGTGATGTGTGCGGTATTAGAGGATTATCTAATGTTAACTGAACATCTTTTTTTCTCCACGGTTGCAGCATTGCTCTATCTTCTAGATCTTTGTACACACAGGTGTTCAATAAACAATGGTTGGGCCAGAGTCCGTTGTTGACTTTTTCTCAACCTCATCTCCTTACACTTGATCTTAGCCAAAAGGCCGAGAAGCCATCAACCTCATCTCCTTAGAACAAACTTCGCCCCCGCCTACTTCTTGGCCTCCTGCCCAGCACCCCACTCCTTCCAAGCGTCTCTCCCACGCCCACCTTCCTTACAGCCACAGGTCCAGAGAAGCTGTTGACCTCGACTGCAGGAGTCAGATTCTGCTGGAGAACTCCGCATCTGTGCCCCGTCCTGCGAGGCGCAGAGACCTGACCTGGCTCCCTTCGGGCAAAGCGCGTCGGGGGCCCCCCCCCCCCCCCCCCCATCCAAGGACTCTGCACCCTGCTTGCCTCCTTTTTGTTCTCTAACACGACGGTTCCCACCCTCGGGACTGCTCTTTGGAAACACTTGGGGAACTTTTTCCGTGCTGATACCTGGGCCCTTTCCAACCCAGAAATTCTGACTTCATAATCCAGGAGGCAGCCTGGATATCGGAATTTTTCGACACCCAGGGATGACTCTTCGAAATCCCGGCGCGCGCGTCCGGCCACGGCGACCAAATAAATGTCCGGCCTGTACATCTGGCCGCCAGGGGGAAAAGAAAGGCAGGAAAGAAGGAGCGCGGGCCTACGTGGCCTGCGGGAGCCCCGGGCGGCTCCACCCACTGCGCGGGCGCGGCTGACCTACCCTTGGCCTCGGGCCAGCTGCGGGAATAAACCCCTGAGCCTCGCCCGCCACGAGCCGGTGAGGCGGTGCGCGTAGCAGGGACTGCTTCTCCGCGGACAGCGAGGGCAGCGTGTCCCGGGTGAGTTACCCGAGTCCTGATCCGGGGCCAGGGCCGGGCAAGACCTCCACGGGGACGGGGCTCCGCGCCGCGCCAGCGCCCGCACCCGCGGGCGGGAACCCTGTGACACCGTGGCTGGTGGGGGGGGGCGGGGGGCGGGGAGGGTGGTCGGGTGGGGGAAGGGCGCGCGGGCAGGTGAGCCGGAGGGAGCGCCGCTTTGTCCCCGAGATTCAGACTCGCGAGACCCAGAAGGAAGGGCTGCTAGCGTCCCCGCCCGGTCCCGGAGCAGAGGGCGGGATCCGTCCCTGGTATCCTCTTCCGTCCACGCTGCCTTGGTCCCCAGCTCTCTGCTGCTCAGTGCGTCTGCCTCTCCCTCCCCGCCGCCCCCCTACTCATCCCATACCTCTTACCGGAGCACTTTGCCGCCTCCTGGGCTGGGAAGGGAAAGGCACCTCCTCACATTGCCCCTAAATAGTTAAGCTTACTGTGTTTGTTTGTTTGTTTGTTTGTTTTCTTTTTGAAAATAAGCTCTGGGGCGCCTGGGTGGCCCAGTCGGTTGGGCGTCCGTCCGACTTCAGCTCAGGTCACGATCTCACGGGTTCGTGAGTTTGAGCCCCGTGTCAGGCTCTGTGCTGACCGCTCAGAGCCCGGAGCCTGCTTCGGATTCTGTGTCTCCCTGTCTCTCTCTGTCCCTCCCTTGCTCTCTCTCTCTCTCTCAAAAATAAATAAACTTTTTAAGAAATTTAAAACAGTATATGAAATAAAATAAGCTGTATATACCCAACGTGGGGCTTGAACCTACGACTCTGAGATCAAGGGTCGCCGGCTCTAAAGGCTCCCCCAGTTAGTTCCGCTTTTGAACCAAGTAGTGAGAGGCCATGGGATGGAGACACCAAAGAGGTGTCTATAACTTGATTACATTCAATATGCTCTGTAACTACATAAGGCACAGTCTTGACACTGAAACCGAACCCCGCATTTACTTTTGTTGGTAAGGATACTTCCTATAAGCATCCTTTGTTGTTACGACCAGGGATTATAACTCACATGCCAGCAGGAACGTCAGTCGGAGCTCTAGCTCACGCACAGGCATTTTGCTGCTGTTTTGTGCCTGGCTTTGTTCTAACAAGGCCCCCACATGATGAGCATTAGGAGTAGAGCCGGAGATGATGAGTAACCTGCCGGCAGGCGCTGAAATCCAGCCCAATGCCTCTTGCCCCACCCCCACCCCATGCACCCTGGAGGGAGCTGTGTGCAGAGCAAGGAGGACCTTTTTCTCTTTCCAGTTGGCTCAGAAATTTCATAAGAGATCATCGTGGCCATATTACACACCCCATTACTTTACCTGTATTAAGTCATTTGACTTCCACAGCTGCCCCCATTGGTGCCTGCTGTGGAATCCCCTTATTTAGAAGAGGAAACTGAGGCACAAGAGATAACATCATTTTTACCAAGGTTGCCGAGAAGTCAGTGGCACATCCAGAATTCCAACGCACACTGTCATGTTTTTTTAATGTTTATTTACTTTTGCGAGAGACAGAGTGCGAGCAGCGGAGGGGCAGAGAGAGAGGAAGACATAGAATTTGAAACAGGCTCCAGACGCTGAGCTGTCAGTACAGAGCCCGACGTGGGGCTCGAACTCACGAACTGGTGAGATCGTGACCTGAGCCGAAGACGGAGGCTCACAACCGACTGAGCCCCCCCCCGGGCGCCCCCCAGTGCACACTTTAATCTCTACACCTCACCACCTGTGCAGATCCCCAGCAGACACCCTAAACCCCAGATGAGCAGACCTCAGGATGCCAGGCTCTTAAGAACCTAGTAAGCATCTGCCAAGACAGCAATAAGTGGTAAGACCTTGCCCCGGGTCTTAGGTCGTGCCCATGTGGAGATGGTAGAGTGCTGGAGTCCAGAGCCTGTGGCATTAAGAACCTCCCCCCAGGTCAGTGGTGAGACTTCTAAGCACCCAGATGGTGCTGGAGTCCAGCGAGGAGAGGCGTGGACCTCTGGCCTTTGGGCGTGGATTTACACAGTGGTACTCCCGGAGGGAGCATTGATAAGCTGGTGTGGGTTTTCCCCGGAAGAAGTGTTAGCAGTGACCAGGCTGCAGCCGGCGGAGGGTGTCCGGGGTGCCCTATTACTGGGGGAAGTATGACCCTCATTGTTGTAGCTCTCAAGCCACACGTCCCGTGAGTGAGCTTAAAATAAGAGCATGCAAACCGCTGTCTGCCCTTCAAAGCACGTTCCTTCCAAACCGCGCAGGGCCTGAGAAGCCCAGTCAGTCATCCAAAGGCGACTGTGTGAAAATAAATGTGAACAAAGACGGCGGAGACTTTGAGGGCCATTTCATCCAAAGCCTGGTGAAACCAGCACCCCGCAATATCCATGCCCCCTACCGCCAGCGCTCTAGTTCTTTGGGCCGTGTTGGACACACAGGCCAAACCTTCCTCGAGCCTCAGGCTCTTTCTCCCCTCTGTCAGTCAAGCTGCTCCCAGCTCTCTCTACCGCTGGCCATTCATCAGTTGACTACTTGCTCCAATGCCACCTTCCAGCAAATCCCTCCTGTTGCTTCTTCCCCAGCACCCGGTCTAAATCAGATCTCCTGTCTACTCTCCATAGCACCCTGTCATTCTTTATTTATTTTGCTCAATGTCTGTTTCTTCAACCAGACCCTTTGCTCGTGAGGGCAGAGATCATGGGAGGCTACCCACCCCCTCAGCCCCAGTGCCCAGCATCAGACCTGCCCGGCATCGGTGCTCGGCGGATGTAATAAATGAACTCAGCAGGCCCTGCGCTAAACGGCAGCCAAGGCCTTGGGTGAACCACATCCCCATTCGTTGTGATCTCCAGCTCCATCCGTAGAATGAGACAAGAAACAGCAATTGAGCTCCCAACAATTTCCTAAGGGTCCCACCAGGCCCCAAGCCCTGCTGTCGATGAACCTCTCCACCCATCGTCATGAGCCGTGACTAGTCTGTCCTCCGCCAAACTGCAAAACAAGTGACCACCTGCTGTTCTTTAATGAAGGACACCTCCTCACCTCTTCTGTGCCTCTCAATCGGGCACCCCATTCAGGGAAGCTTCCCACCCCCAGCACAGTAGCCCCCCTGCTAAACATGTCTTCTCACACTGCAGGAAATAAGACCTACCCTTCTTTCCCAGCGAGTCTTTCGTAAAGCATCTTGTAAACTCACTCTCACTAACGTGTGAGTAACTGATAACAGGATGTAAGCTATGGCCCTGTACGAGTGACAGGGCAGGCCTTTTATTCATTCAACAAACCTATCAGGTGACTTCTTGGGGAGCAGCACTCTGAACCTGAGTAACATGATGACGTCCCCAAAGCACATACTGTGGGCCAGCATTGCAGTCAAGCACATAATGCAACCAACAGGGCTTTTGTGATTACTATTAAGAAAGGTTAACTACGAGAAATAATTTTCTTCTTCTTCGGGTCAAATGTTGACACGGTTACAGTGCCTGGGGAGTGAACATTTCTGTCCTGTACAGCACTCAGATGTGTGCCCAGCTTGGTGCTGCGAATGAAAGTTGGCCAAGATGCAGTCTCTGTGGGCCCCCTGCGCTTTCTAAGTTCAGAATCTGCTACCAAGAGAGAAGCTTAAATTACACAGCCAGTTTCTTCCACTATCTCAGAAAGCTTGCGCTCCACGTAGACGGCACACTCAGAGGGAATGGTCACCGAGGTCTTTATGTGGGTCTCTCTTTCTCTGTAGGTCTCAGCCACAGCATGGCTTCCAACCTGAAGTTCGCCAAGGAATTGATCACCTTCTTAGGAAAATCAGTGATTGCTCTTCTGGAGACCCTGATTTTCACCTTCATCCCCAGACCACGGAAGAACGTTGCTGGTGAAATCGTGCTCATCACCGGTGCTGGGAGAGGACTGGGAAGGCTCTTGGCCCTCAGATTTGCCCACCTCGGATCGGTGCTGGTTCTCTGGGATATCAACAAGGAGGGGAACGAGGAAACATGCAGGATGGCTCGGGAAGCCGGAGCCACAAGAGTCTATGCCTACACTTGCGACTGCAGCCAAAAGGAAGAAATCTACAGAGTGGCCGAGCAGGTAGGTGTTGCGTCTCGCCATCTCCTGTGGGCGGTGAGCTCTCTCTATAGGTTCGCTCACGTGCATCCTCCTCTTTGTCTCAACCCCTTGCTCAGTGCAGATTTGCCTGTCTCCAGCATCCCTTTAATTTAAAAAGTATCAGGGAGTGGGAATGAGGATTTTTGAGAGGTCACTGTATACAATATACCATACTAAGCAGCCCATCTATATTGTATCATAATCTGATAAAGTGAGGTCCAATATTATCTTCATTTCACAAATAAGGAAACCGAGGCTGAGGGAGGTAAGTAGCTCACCCAAGAAACAGCTAACAAGTGGCAAAGACCGAGCTTGGCCTTGAGTCTGTTGACTCCAGAATACTCCCACTACATACCAGGCAATATGGACTGTGCTTTCTCCTGTTACAGTAGAAGAGGCAGGGGGCAGCCCGTTTCTTGGAGGGAAAAGGGGGCACAGAGATCTTGAACAGTCTGCTCAGGGTCTCGGAGCTAGCCCGTGACTAAGCCAGGACTCGACCCCATTTCCTGTCTGAGTTTAAACCCAGCTATTTCCACCACACCACAGTGCCTTTCACATGAAGGTATATTTCGCCTAAATAGTCATGAGAAAAACAGAATATCGTATTCATCCCAAAGACCCTTAACCACAGTTGCTCCTTTGGCGATGATACCACTGCCCGTGTAAAGAAGGCTGGCAGGACGTCACCACTCCAGCATGCAACGGTAAGGGTTTCCTTAGTGCATGGAGGCACATAGTCGCACGATGGCTGCCTCTTCTCCCTCATGAGGATTTCTCTCCCCTCGCGTCCTCATGAGTACTCCACACATCACTGTCCTGGGCCGCCCTTGTGGCAACACCCAGAATTCCCCAGTTTAGTGAGAAGGAAGGAACCCGCCACGTTGGAATTTCTGGCACAATTTCTAGGCCCTGAGTCGAATCCCCTTTGCTGCTTCCCACCTCACTGTCTCCTGGGAAGGTTGGCAGGCCACCGGCTGGTGGGTGTGCTTTGAAGTTTTGTTTCAGTTTTCCGCATCGGTAAGTGCAGCCTCCGTCACAGGCAGCCCGGTACAGTCCGGGGACCCAAACCTGACAAGTGCGCGCCTCCCTCGAAGCACAAGTATGTCTCTGCTATTGCTGAGCTCACAGCTTCATCCCTGTGCACTTAAAGCACCGATGGCCTGGCATGCTCACTCGTGCCAACTGCAAACAACTCCTCTCAGCACTCCTCATGTTTACTTATTTTTGAGAGAGCGAGAGAGACAGGATCCGAAGCAGGCGCCAGGCCCCACGCTGTCAGCACAGAGCCCTACACGGGGTACGAACCCACGATCCCACAAACTGTGAGATCGTGACCTGAGCCAAAGTTCAGTGCTTAACTGACAGGCGGGCACAGCTTGTGTGGGAATGTCACTAGACCTATCAGGCGGGGTCTGTGGCCATATTCTTACAGTGAGGAGCGTAGTGATTGCAGAAGAAGGAAACTAGTTAAAAACTAGAGTCGGTGGCCTTTACCTTAGATGCTACCCTCTGTCTCTTGTACACGATACTGACAAGCTTACTCTCATCCCATGGGTGAGCATTTTATTAGGCTGTCATTGGTCAGTAATAAATATGTAAGTCACATACAGTTAAACCTGGTCCCTTTGGCTCTAGTGTGGCAGGGGCTGAATACTCATGATGTCTTTCCAAGTTTAATTTAAAGGGAAAAAGCAGACTTTGGAACAAGAGAGTCCTTTAACAGAAAAAAAAAAAATAGATGAAGATCAACCTATATGCTAAATAGATAAATCAATAGGAAGGAAGGTTATTCACATGAAAAATCTTATCACGGATGCTTAGCCCCGTACATTTAAAGCATGATTCATAGAGATATAATTTTCATATACTGCAAAGATACAAGCCTAAATGCCATTTAAAAAAATGTTTAATGTAATGAATTAATTTATTTAATTTTTATTTAATTTATTTATTTTTGAGAGACAGAGAGAGACAGAGCATAAGTCACCGGTGGGGAAGGGGGGTGCAGAGAGAGAGGGAGACACAGAATCCGAGGCAGGCTCCAGGCTCTGAGCTGTCAGCACAGAGCCCGACATGGGGCTCGAACCCACGAACTGTGAGATCGTGACCTGAGCCGAAGTCAGAGGCTCAACAGACGCAGCCACCCAGGCGCCCCTGGAGGCCATTTTGAAATTAGAGTCTGATGTTTATTTGGTCAAGTGTTTGAGAACACGCTTGATCTATGTGAGAGGCCACAGTGGACATACATGTCCCTGTTTATTTCCCTTGGATGTCACTTCTAGCCTTGCCACCCCTGACTCTGAGCTAACGTGTCAGCCTCTAATGCTAGTACTGTCTTCCGGTCCACAGCCCGGACCAGCTTTTCTTTCTTTCTTTTTTTTTTTTTTCCAGTTGAGTGTAGTTGACACACAATGGCACACTGGCTTCAGGTGTCCAACATGGTGACGTGGTAACACTGTTATGTGTCACGGCCCACTCACCACAGGTGTGGTGTCACCGTGCAACACTACCACAGTACCATTGGTGACATTCCTCGCGCTGTGCCTTCCGTTCCTGTGGTTTGCTCATTATTCCGTGACCGGAAGGCCGTACCTGATTCTGCCTCAGGTAGGGCTGGTTGTGGCTAGCCTTGACAGCCGTTGAGCTTGAATTTGGCGACGTATTTTAGCTACTCTCCAAATAAAACTCTAATTTAGATTGTTTTGGATGCTTTTATATGAAAACACTACCATGAAGTGTGAGCTTTTCTTAGTCTGTATTTCGTCCTAAGGTTTTCCCCTAGGCCACCCATCTAGTTGGGTAACAAATAAATACCCAACACATCAGCCTCGTTGCTAGGACCCACAACCTCAGATGACAGACAGCCTCAGGTGGTGTCAGTAATATGCCCCCCTCTGTGCTGACTGCTACCGTATACGCAGGTGCACACACGCACACACACACACACACACACACACACACACAGAGCTAGAGATGTGAGAGTACTGCGTGAGCTTCCTGTTGAGCTCAGCCGGTGGCTGCCGCTGACCTGGGGACAGAGGCCCTGCTGTGTGATACAGATCACAGTGATGAAATTCAGAACACAGAAGGGAGCAGAGGGGCACCACCCTCTCCCGTGGCCAATCCTGGAAAATCCCGTGCTCCCTTCTGCCAGTAGAGCCAAGATGACAAGCTAAAGATTCCCCGTAAGCGGAAGGCCCCAGGGTCACACCCAGACATTTTATTCCTGAAATAAAAGTTACTGAGTGCCTACTCCGGCCGGCAAAGGGAGCCCACTCAGATCCTCTCTTGACACATCTTAGTACCCGGAAGCTTGTGTCAGGGAGAAGAAAACCAGCCCACTAGCCCAAGCAGGACAGACGGGTTCTGTGCTGTGCCTCCAGTGTAAAACGTGTTTAGGAATTTTGCGCTTTCTCCACACCCTCCTGCTCCACCCCCCTCTCAGTGTGGGCTGGGTCTTAACTTATACGTCACGCCTATAATGCCTTAGGTCCTGTCGCAGTGATTGAAATCACCTGCTACATACACAGAGCCTGCCACAAAGCGACTGATCGCTAAGTATGAGGATAGCTCTCCAACCGCTCTGTTAAGGCCGACGGCCCTGCAGTGTTGGAACCGTCCTAAGAAGGGGGGCACGGGGGGGGGGCAAGAAACGAGAAGAAAACCATCAGACTTGGATCTCTGACGCTCTGCAAACTCAGCAAGGGAAATGAAACACAGACGTAAACCCCGTCT